CTTTGTGACTAGGTCGTCGTATGGGAGAAGGTTGCCAGGGTGGTTCTTGGCGACCTCACAAGCGACAGGTTCATCTCGCGCTGGATGACTGACGGGTCGTACTCCGCCTCCTCTGCATACAGAGCCTTCTTCATTGGTATGACATCCCTAGAGGCGCAAAGGAGCTATGGAAGGCTCGGGCTCCGCCCAAGTGCAAGTTCTTTTTTTGGTTGCTATTGCACGATCGACTTTGGACAACGGCAAGAAGGAAGAAGGAAGCGTCGAGGGTTGTAGGACGATGATGTGTGCGTTCTCTGTGACCAGGAGCAGGAAACGGCGCAACACCTTGCGGGAGGTTGTGTCTTCGCCAGAGAAGTGTGGTACAAGGTGCTTGCTCCCATCGGCCTTGATCATCTCGCGCCACAGCCTAGGACATCCTTTCTTGATCGGTGGCTACTGAGCCGTCTTCAGCTTGGGATGGTGCGTCGCAAAGGTTTTGACTCTCTCATAATCTTGGATCGTGGTGTCTATATATAGAAGGAGTGGAACCATAGGGTTTTTGATAGCATCGGTCGGACGGCCGTCGCGGTCACTGTCTCTGTGGTGGACGAAGCGGATCGGTGGTCTCAAGCGGGGTTCGGCCACCTCGCCGCGCTTTGGATGGCCGCAGGCAGCGGTTGATCTTCGTCAACCCATTTTGTCGTAAAATTTTATGTCATGTAATATCAGTTTAGCTACGCCGCTTCTTATTACTTGGTTAACTCTGTTTGGCCGTAGTGTGCTACTCGCGTCCTAGCCAACCGGCGTTTACATATGTAACAACTCCTTTTCCTATTTAATGATATACATGTCATGGTCGTGAAAAAGAAGAAACACCACGCTCATAACAAGAAGATTTACATGGGCTTGCGAGGTTCAGCTCAACATCAGTCCGGCCCAACAACTCTTGGATTGGGCTTCGAAGCCCGCTTGGCTTTAGCTCCTCCTCCATCCTTGTCTGAATCGGAAGCCCCCGCTTTGCCTGATAACGCCGTCACTCCCGTGCTGCGTCATGGATAGATATGGCGAGTCAGAGGAAGCGGCGTGCATATCTGGACAGTATAGCTGAAGACGCATACAGTCCGGTAAGTGGTGCGCCGTGCGCGGATCAGATTCTTGGCATGTTCCTTGGACCTTTCGAACTAGTGTACGTTTTGACTGGCCTCTGGATCTATCGATTACTCCGTCCCGAAATAAAAGCACATCTAGATTTCAAAGAGGCAACTTAAGACATGTGCAAAATGAAAGAGCTACCCCTATAGTAAGACACTCATCTGGCGTTCCATGCATCTGGAGACAGTTAGCTTGTGGCCAGGAATTATCGAGAAAAAAAAAACTTGTGGCCACGAATGCTCCCATGCGCTGGCGCTGGTGAAAAGGTACTGTAGCTCTGTCCGCTAGGTTAGGACTGGAGACCAATGATCGATTAAATTGGGAAAAAATTTGAACTCCAGACGTCTCTGGGACGGAGGGAGTACTCGTTCAGCGCTCGTCGTGTACGGCGAGATGGGAGGAGCCTTGGCAGCAGCCGACTGCTACATCACCCGCGACAACTACCCGGGGAAACAGCTGGACAGTGCGCCTGCATCGTCTGCGCGCCCAAGAACGGCGTCAACTGCGTGCCCCACGTACACCCTGTCCGGCTCCACTTACAAGTGCAGCAACAAGACGGAATAGTGGACTCAATCAATAATAATGCTTCAACCTGTACACGTTGTCGTATATTAGTCGAGTTGAATAATGCTAGCTTTGGGTACGTGCCCCAAACTATGTGTTTATTTATTTTAGGGTGAACAAAGCTGATCGATCGACATGATCAGATGCATTCATGCATGTCGCATAAGAACGTGGCTTTTTGTTTCCCGCGGTTCTCTGAACTCGTATCCACAAGTGGCTCAGCCCTCCAACGCGGCGGCCACCATCTCCCGTAGCTAACGCGTGGGCTGGCGGCGCGGCGGCGCCGGCAGCAACCGCGTGACGGAGTCGGGAAGCCGGCAAGCGCTGGGACGGGGTGGCGGCAGCGGGCGCGGTGCAGCGGCAGGTGGGCGACGTGGCTGCGAGCTGAGGCGCGACGCATGGTGGACGGTCCCTAGGACCACGCCGTCGCTCACGTCCGTGCCGTCCGAGGAGAATGACACGATCACACGAAGTATGCGAATGGAAGAGGTAAAAAAAGAAGGGGTCATTGCATTTTTAAGCTTTCCTCCTTCATGTTGTCTGTTTATTTAGCGTGTCATGTTGGATCTGTTCGCTATACGAAGAGGTATAGATCAACGGTGGAACACTTAAATAGTTTAAGGACCATAAATACATTTTAAGAGTTGTTGGACTTGGAGGACACCCCAAAAATTCATAGACCTACGGTGCACTTAACTCTTAATAACATCGGTCACTCCTAAATCCTTCGTCTCAAAGTTATTGAACAAGAAATCCTTCGTCTCAATCACATGAAGGCTGGTTGTAAAGATCAATATACCATCAACATATAAACACAAGATCATATACCTTCACCTCCATCATAGCAATAATACACACATCTATTAGCTTCAGGGGCGTTTGGTTGGTCGGATCCATTCCGATTCTTCCGAGAATCGGTTGGAATGGTGCCAAATGGGTGAAGAGCGTAACATTTGTGAAACGTTTCATGCACCTATTGTGCCTGACTTTCTGAATTGGCTGAAGGGTGATTTCGCACCGATTCTCTTATGTTTCTCTTGCCTCCCATATGCGTTATTAGAATCTAGCCTACCAGCCAAACGATTTACAAAGTGATTCAGATTCAACTCATGAAACGTTTCTCGAGATAATCTGGTTTGATCTGAAATATTTCTACAAGAATCTGAATTCCTACCAAACGAAGCCTCATTCATGACAAAGCCAGTAAATGTTAAGGTTTCGTCGAACCTTTAATAACAAAGTAACATTACGGGACAGTAATCGTAGAGTGACAGACATGAACTCTTGCAGTGATTACTCCCGTAACTTTCGATCCATGATCCCGTAACTGTCCGTTTAATGGCTCCATCCAACGCTTGAGTGGCAAATAAAATCCAACTCACCACGCACCACACATGTCGCGGCCTAGCCTGAGTGGGCTCATGGCGTGCGTGTACGAGGCACGCCTTCACCTCTCTCAACTTCATAACATGTGTTCACACGATTCACTTATTTAAGTTGAGTCAATATTATGTTTAGACAAAATCCTATACAAAACTAAGACTTTATTACACCTATCATTTAATGTGATTCTTAAAAATTATTAAATTTAATTAAATTAAAAATAGACCAAACCCAATTATAATCAAAGATGGCGTCTAGACCACACCGATGAGGCGACAACCTTTTTTTGAGGTCAACTGGAGGAGCAAGGAGCCCCCAACTAGGGATGAAAACGGTCGGGAACGGTCGGGAAAATGTCTTAACCATTTTCGCTCCCGTATTTTTTTGGCCGGGAACGGGAACGAGAAGGACGGACGGGAAAACGAACCATTACAGTATATCGAACGGAATATTTCGAACGGAACGATGTCGTCTGAGAAAAACACAAAACGGGAACATCGATATATGTAACCACTTGAAATAGTGAGCTCGCATTAATAGCAACCATGCATAATCCTTATGCAAACAATAGCAACTAGTGAGCTCGTCAGAATATTTATGCAAATAAAACTACAGAACTACCAAAAAAAGAAAATGGAAAAGAAAAATGAACAAAGGGCCAAACCTTGCTGCTCCTGGAGATCTACAAAGGAAAACAACAGATGGGGAATAAAAGAAACAAAAAAAAGTTAAAACCAGCGCATCAGCTCGTTTGTCCCTGCCTCTTTTCTGGCACGCATGCACAAGGCACAGGCAGGCATGCCGCAAGCAGCAGCAGTGCACAGAGGCACTGCAGCACACTGCACACCGCACTCAGCAAGCATTAGTCCCACCTCGTCCTTTGAATCCGCACTGGCACGGAGGTAAGTTATAAATGAAGCCAGGCTAGTGGACAGGAAACGACTCATCCTTGGGCCGAAGTTGTGGACTAGCGGGCTGATGGGCTGGGCGCCTGCAAACACGGGAATACCGTCGGGATTTTTCCCGTTAAAATCCGGTAACCGTGGATTCGGTCGGGAAAATAGCTCGCCCGATTCCGATCCCGGTTCCGCCCGTTTTCCTGAATAATTTTTCCGTTTCCGAATTTTCCTGTAATTACGGTATACGGTTGGTATTTGCGGAATACGGTGTCGGTCGGTACGGGATCTTCCCGTTCCTGGTTTCATCCTTACCCCCAACTGGTCACACCACTCACCACCAGTGTCTGATGTCTGAGCCAAAAGCCCAAAAAGCATGCTCTCACTCTTAAGCCCCTTTGGCACGACTCATCTAAAACGGCTAAGCCCCTTTGGCACGACTCATCTAAAACGGCTAAGCCCCTTTGGCACGACTCATCCAAAACGGCTGGTGAAGCCAAAGCCGATGAAGCTAGAAAAACTGTCTTTTCTTAGCTTCTAGTTCATTTTAACCTCGACTTACAAAACGGCATCACGCTACAGTGTCTCGATTTGCGTAAAATAGATGAAGCCGAAGCCGGCATAAGCCGTGCCAAAAGGCCCTTACTCTTCGTCTGTAGGGAGGATAAGGCGATAACAAGTTTCTGTTCTGAATGGATTAGGGCGTCATTGTCCATGTACCGCGTGCGACTGCTCTCGGTGTCGGTGATGAAATGATCGACAAAGGCTCAGTGCTCTAATTACTTGAATGGCATGGAGTAGAGAAAAATAGATGGAAGGTACTATTAGCGATGGAAGTGTACTGGACAACGATGTATCATATGATACCACCGAGCGAGTAGACATGATCACATATGAAGATCATTACACAAGACAATAAAACCATCTCTCTCTCTCTCTCTCTCTCTCTCTGTGTGTGTGTGTGTGTGTCTCGACGAAGCGGACACCGTCGATATGGACGTGGGAACGTCTGGAGTCTGGACTCATTCAAATGAGCGGCGCTTTCGAATGAGCGGCTGTCGCACTTGCACCCTTGCGAATCGCATCACGCAGCCTCTCCAGCGCCATGTACGACGACCCGCCCGCCTCCACGGCCTTGCGGCACGCGGCCTTCATCTCCGCGGCCTTCTCCCGCGCCTTCCGCCCCTCCTCGCCGCCGCCCATCAGGGCCCTCACCGCCCGCTCCAGCTCCGCGGCCTCGACGAAGTTGTCACGCTTCCTGTCCACCTCCATGGCCACGGCCACGCCCATGACGGACACGAGCTCGAACGCGTTCAGGTGCTGCTCCGAGTACAGTGGCCACGGCACCAGCGGCACGCCGTGCCACAGGCTCTCCATCGTCGAGTTCCACCCGCAGTGGGTCACGAAGCCGCCCACGGCCCCGTGGGAGAGCACCGCCTTCTGCGGCGCCCACCGAGGCCACACGAGGCCCCTGTCCTTGGTCCGCTCCAGGAACCCCGCGGGGAGGAGCTCGTCTAGGTCGGCGTACGACGGGTGCCGCGAGCCCGCCGCGGGAGGGCCGCGCAGCGCCCACAGGAACCGGTGGCCGCTCCGCTCCAGCCCCGTGGCGACCTCGCGCGCCTTGGCGGCGTCGAACCAGCCCAGGCTCCCGAAGCAGAGGAACACCACCGACGCCCGCGGCTGCGAGTCGAGCCACCGGACGCACGCCTCGTCGTCGGACGCATTTTCCACACCGAGGTTCAGCACCGGGCCGATCGGGTACAGCGGCGGCGCCGGTCGTCCCGGCATGCACCGGCCTTCGGCGATGGCGGTGAGAAGCCCCGGCTCGAGCTGGGTCACCGTGTTGACGATGATGCCGTCCGCGTCCATGAAACGTCTGCCGTGGTACACGAACCACGTGAAGTTGGGGCTGTCCTTGCGTCCCAGGAACCCGGGGATGTTTCCCGCGGGCACGGGCGGCAGGCCCGGGACGTCCACCGTGCCCTCGAACGTCTCGAAGTCGACGGCGACCGTCTCGTCGAGGGCCGGCAGCCTCAGCGTGAGCGCGAGCAGCGCGGCGGTGGAGGTGAAGTAGACGTACGTCGGCACGGCGAGCGCGCGCGCTACGTCGAGCACGGTGGTGGCGAAGAAGTCGACCACGAGCGCCGCGGCGCCGAGCTCCCGCGCCGCGGCCTCCACGTGGGGCTTGTAGAGCTCCAGGTAGCGCGACTTGAACTCCTGCAGGTTGCCGGCGCAGTCCGCGGGGGGATCCACGGCCGGGAGGTGGTGGAACCGGATGCCAACGCCGGACGCCGCGACGCGCCGGACGTGCGCCCCCACCTCGGACGCCGACTCTGGCGTCGGCGGCCGCACGACGAGGACGGTCACCGTGAACTCTCGGCCGAGGTCCTCGTCGTCTCCGCCGCCGGCGCCGTGGCCGAGCAGGCGCTTCCCGGCTTCGATGAGCGACATGAGGTGGCCGGAGCCGGGCTCAGGGAGGAGCAGCACGTTGAGGCTCGCCATTATATTCCACCCTCCTGACAAAAGAGCTTGTGTTGCTGCGCTAGCTAAGTGTACGAGCTCCGACTCCAATTGTGCGTTGTGGTTGAGTCTGAACATGCTCTATAAATTGTTGCTCGCACAGGCCGTAGCGAGCGAGCACAGAGCAGAAGGGACACCAAAAGTCTATTCTGGATTGAGGCCGGGGAAAAGGATTGGCCGGTCTCTGCAGAGTCTAGTGCGGCGTTGACAGTCCGGTCCCTTTCGTTATTACATTATTAATGTCAAATAGAGTTTTATATTTTGGGGGCTACGGCCGGTGCCAAGTAAGCGCACGTGTAACCAAACTCGTTTTGCTCTTCTTCTGAACACAACAACGCGCAAGCCTCCTGCGTATTGAAGAAAAAAGTAGTCTTCTATTGAGGTCCAGAAGGAATCAAAGTGGAAGCAGCATCAAATCTCTCATTCCGGAAAGGATGCAATCTAGAATAGTTAATCAGTATGAAATTTGATTAATTTTTTTCTAAAAAGTAATAATATTTATCATGCAAAATATTTTTGTCGTCAAATATATTTTCATAGCATATCTGTTTAGGGTCAAACATGGTGCTACTATTTCCTATAAACATGATCAAATTCAAGATAGGTAGACTTCCGGTTCGCAACCCCATTCACTCCTGGTTTTGGAACCGGGAGCATGAATCCGGGACTAAAGGGCCCCTCCTTTAGTCCTAGTTTCGCGCTCGGGACTAAAGGTCCACCTTTAGTCTCAGTTGGTAATACCAACCGGGGCTAAAGAGGCCTTTCGGCCTGACCACATAGACCGGCTCTTTAGTCCCGATTGATACAACCGGGACTAAAGTTTTTTTTTCCTTTTTTTGTTTCTATTTTTATTTTCCTTTTTTTTTCTATTTTCACGCTGCTACCAGGGTTTTTTTTTTCTATTTCTATTTTCCTTTTTTCCTATTTTTAATTGATGATTCGTTTTGGTTTTTGAATACGCATTCTACGCTGCTAGAATATACGTACGTTTATAATGTTTAACATTTTGTATAAACTATAGTACGAAGGATCTTTAGTCAAGGATCAGCGGTACAATCCTATAGAGCAGATCTTGTTCAAGTTCGTGCTGCATGGTTTGAGAGCTGAGCTTTTAAGTTAGCTTTCACTCTTCTGAGCAAACGAGGTGGTGCTAATAGGTGGGATTGGCCAGCAATTCCAGCATATTGCGTACTGGGCCACTCCATTATAGTATATGCTCTCTCCTATGTGTGGGCTTCAGGTTGAGTCGGCCCATCGAGGCTCCTATAAACGCTCGGGACTAAAAGACCTTTAGTTCCGGCTCGTAATACCAGCCGGGACTGATTGATTTGGTCGTGTTCAAATCAATTGATTTCCTACGTACAATACCAGTCCTCCATGGTCAGCTGGGACTAATTGATTTCCTACGTACTGGTGTAGCAGCTAGCTTGCAGTCCTCGATGGTCAGCCGGGATCAGCCGGGACTAATTGATTTCCTACGTACTAGTGTAGCAGCTAGCTAGCAAGAGAGAGACTGTTTTGTTGGCTTAGCCTGTGTTTAGTTCCAAACCTAAATTCTCAAAAAGTGCTACAGTAGCCATCACATCGAATCTTGCGATATGTGCATGGAGCATTAAATGTAGACGAAAAAAAACTAATTGCACAGTTTGGTTGGAAATCGCGAGACGAATGTTTTGAGCCTAATTAGTCCATGATTGAATACTAATTACCAAATAAAAACGAAAGTGTTACGGTAGCCCAAATTTCAAAATTCGGCCAACTAAACACGGGCTTACACGTACTGACGGTGAACAGCTAGCTAGCTAGCTAATGTAGCAGCTACTCCTACGTACTAGTGTCTCGATCGACTCGCTCCCGTACACGTACGCCCAGCTCGCTCCCGGCCGGCCGCAGGAAAGAACATACACACGTACTGGTTAATAATAATACTCGCTCTGAGCCGTCACGCGGCCAGCACTCCACAGAGCTCAATCAGTTGGAGACCTTTAGTCCCGGTTGGAGACAGCAACCGGGACTAAAGGTCCCTTCCTAATCTCGGACGGAGACTCCAGCCGGGAGTAGACTTTTACTCTCGGTTGGAGGGACCAGTCGGAAGTAAAAATTAACCTTTAGTCCCGGTTAGTAGCTCTAACCGGGACTAAAGGTCCCCTGCAACAAAAGCCTGCCACAGTAGCCGTTGGGCAGGACCTTTAGTCCCGGTTGGAGCTACCAACCGGTACTAAATGTTTCTCTAGTCCCGGACGCGAAAAATATCGAGACCAAAACTAAATTTCGAAGTAGATCAAAGGTCGTTTCTCTAGCAGTGGGTTGAGTCTGAACATGCTCTATAAATTGTTGCTCGCACAGGCCGTAGCGAGCGAGCACAAAGCAGAAGGGACACCAAAAGTCTATTCTGGATTGAGGCCGGGGAAAAGGATTGACCGGTCTCTGCAGAGTCTAGTGCGGCGTTGACAGTCCGGTCCCTTTCGTTATTACATTATTAATGTCAAATAGAGTTTTATATTTTGGGGGCTACGGCCGGTGCCAAGTAAGCGCACGTGTAACCAAACTCGTTTTGCTCTTCTTCTGAACACAACAACGCGCAAGCCTCCTGCGTATTGAAGAAAAAAGTAGTCTTCTATTGAGGTCCAGAAGGAATCAAAGTGGAAGCAGCATCAAATCTCTCATTCCGGAAAGGATGCAATCTAGAATAGTTAAACAGTATGAAATTTGATTAATTTTTTTTAAAAAGTAATAATATTTATCATGCTAAATATTTTTGTCGTCAAATATATTTTCATAGCATATCTATTTAGGGTCAAACATGGTGCTACTATTTCCTATAAACATGATCAAATTCAAGATAGCTAGACTTCTAAATCTAGTAGAATCATATCTTTGGAGACAGCGAAGCTTCTTTTATGCCATCAACTAGAATGGATGTGAACGGCGATGACTAGCTCCAAGATATATAACCCAATGAACGAATGACACCAATCACGGTAGTTGCAGCGGGCTCTACTAGTAGGACTGTATAGTACTCGCTTCCGAGCTGCCATGAACACCACCACAGGTACCTTGCGCTTCGTGGGCGCTACACGCTACCTCATGCACAGCTTGAAAGCCGCCGCCTGCTCACATTGAGAAGGACGACGTTAATGTTCCCCGTGGGAGGTTGTCAAAAAAAAAAAAGTTCCCCATGGGCCATGGCCATTTGACACTGCCTGGCGAGAACTGAGAACAGAGAACCTAACGCAATCTAGACAAGCTACCGATCACACTAGCTCTGTTTAGTGCATGATGACTGTTGTACAACATGTGATGTGAGTGGATAGAGTGTACTACGGGCGAATTGTATTCTGGTTTTGTGCCCTAGCTAGGTCCATTATATTCCTGTACGTGGATAGATCGATGTAGGCAAGCAGTCAGGCCTTCGTTGTGCGCAATATAATGGATGGAGGGGGATATATCCTAGTTAGGCACACCATGTGTATCTATATGCATGGCTGGTCTAGCTAACCCTTCACCCTCGGCATCATATCACTGCAAACCACATGCCGTGGGCCCGTGGCTGATTTCGCGCCACACGTTCTCGTGGCATACATACGTAGCGGATCCACCGAAGTACTGTAGACGTTGAACTTTGCAGCAAGAGGCCATCTGCGAACACAAAGTTGACACGTGCCCTTGTGGTTCGATATTGTGATGATTGATTGTCAACGAGTTGCGCTTCAGGTTGAGTTTGTGAACTAACCAGGGCGTGAGTTGTGTTGTGCAATATGTTTCTTGGCTTGTGGTGCGTAGGTGTGGAGCTCGGAGACGGTAATCGACAGTGAAGGTGAAGGTCAAGCGGGTCCGTGCCGATGGACTGGGAGCGGTGAAGGACGGATGCTGGGCTTGGACCAAGGGACCAGGAGGCCGGATGACCAGCCGCGGTGGCTGACAGTCTGACACCTGGGGACATCGACAAGTGCAAGTGTACATGGTGACCGTGTTGACCAAGTCAAGACGGCGGTCGAGCAAGTCGGGCGGAGGCTCTAGAAGACTTGGCAGCCGGGCGATCGAGGACGGCGGTGACACGTCTCGAGGTACAGGGGATACATATAGAGTACGGTACTCGCGAGTGGTTTGGTCCTCAAAACCACTGGCGGAGGGTTTTCGCGGGTTTGTCCTCAAAATCCGGGTGCGGTTCCGGCGGGAATCGGGGCAGTACGTGGCGGAATCACAGAGGTTGCGTCAAGGCGAAGCAAATCTATGAAGGAAGCGTGGCCGTTTGATCGACAGAGAGAGAGTTGGACCATAATACCTTTGGGGTTAGCTGGTTCGCGCAAAATATCTAGGGGCACTAGTAAAATTGTGTAATAGGCCTATAAATAAGATGGGCTGCCTCCACTCAGTCTTATCACTGTAGTTCTATTTCTCCAGTCAGACATTTCTTTTATCCTTGTTAGGGTTTCCTGCCTCTATACTGCTGTAGTGATCCACAGATGATTTAGCCAAATTATTCAAATGTGTAAAACAACTTTGTAGACCTGATCTAAGTGGGAATGGAGGCCTTAACCTCCTCTTGTCCTCCGAGATTCAGATCCTTGTCTCATGCTCTTGTGATTTGATTTTTGGTTTCCTTCCTCTCTCGGTATCCCTTTCTCTTGATTTTGATGGTTTCCTTGAATATGAGCTTTTGAGGTCTTTTGAGTTAGATCAAAACATGCAAGGACACCTGAGAATCATTCCCACCAAGTGGTTTGGCTAGATTCAACTCGAGCACGAAAATCCACTCTTTTGAGGAATTTTGAGAAATCCCCATCCTTCTTGATGGATTTTGAGATTGCTTGAGATTTGTTGGGTTTTGGGTGTTGATGCTCTGGAGATATCTTCTCAACACTCCCTGGAACATCCCTGCAAAGTTTCAAGTCAATCCGAGTTGATTTGGTTGAGTTTCGGACTTCGAATCGAATTTTCCTGAAATTTGCTCGTACATACCGGACATGTCCGGTAGGCAA